CATCTCTCTAATACAGACATCTCTCTAATACAGACATCTCTCTAATACAGACATCTCTCTAATACAGACATCTCTCTAATACAGACATCTCTCTAATACAAACATCTCTCTAATACAGACATCTCTCTAATACAAACATCTCTCTAATACAGACATCTCTCTAATACAGACATCTCTCTAATACAGACATCTCTCTAATACAGACATCTCTCTAATACAGACATCTCTCTAATACAAACATCTCTCTAATACAAACATCTCTCTAATACAAACATCTCTCTAATACAGACATCTCTCTAATACAGACATCTCTCTAATACAGACATCTCTCTAATACAAACATCTCTCTAATACAAACATCTCTCTAATACAAACATCTCTCTAATACAGAGATCTCTCTAATACAGACATCTCTCTAATACAAACATCTCTCTAATACAGAGATCTCTCTAATACAAACATCTCTCTAATACAGACATCTCTCTAATACAGACATCTCTCTAATACAGACATCTCTCTAATACAGACATCTCTCTAATACAAACATCTCTCTAATACAAACATCTCTCTAATACAAACATCTCTCTAATACAGACATCTCTCTAATACAGACATCTCTCTAATACAGACATCTCTCTAATACAAACATCTCTCTAATACAAACATCTCTCTAATACAAACATCTCTCTAATACAAACATCTCTCTAATACAGAGATCTCTCTAATACAGACATCTCTCTAATACAAACATCTCTCTAATACAGAGATCTCTCTAATACAAACATCTCTCTAATACAGACATCTCTCTAATACAGACATCTCTCTAATACAGACATCTCTCTAATACAGACATCTCTCTAATACAAACATCTCTCTAATACAAACATCTCTCTAATACAAACATCTCTCTAATACAGACATCTCTCTAATACAGACATCTCTCTAATACAGACATCTCTCTAATACAAACATCTCTCTAATACAAACATCTCTCTAATACAAACATCTCTCTAATACAGAGGTCTCTCTAATACAGACATCTCTCTAATACAAACATCTCTCTAATACAAACATCTCTCTAATACAAACATCTCTCTAATACAGAGATCTCTCTAATACAGACATCTCTCTAATACAGACATCTCTCTAATACAGACATCTCTCTAATACAGACATCTCTCTAATACAGACATCTCTCTAATACAGACATCTCTCTAATACAGACATCTCTCTAATACAGACATCTCTCTAATACAGACATCTCTCTAATACAGACCTCTCTCTAATACAGACCTCTCTCTAATACAGACATCTCTCTAATACAGACATCTCTCTAATACAGACATCTCTCTAATACAGACATCTCTTGGATACAGACGTCTCTGTAATACAGACATCTCTTTAATACAGACACCTCTCTAATACAGACATCTCTTGGATACAGAGGTTTCTCTAACACAAACATTTCTCTAATACGTACATCTCTCTAATACAAACATCTCTTTAATACAGACATCTCTCTAATACAGACATCTCTCTAATACAGACATCTCTTTAATACAGACTTCTCTCTGATACCAACATTTCTCTCTAATACAAACATGTCTCTAATGCAGGCACCTCTCTAATACAAACATCTCTCTAATACAGACATCTCTCTAATACAAACATCTCTCTAATACAGACATCTCTCTAATACAGACATCTCTCTAATACAGACATCTCTCAAATACAGACATCTCTCTAATACAGACACCTCTCTAATACAGACACCTCTAATACAAACATCTCTCTAATACAGACATCTCTCTAATACAGACATCTCTAAATGTCTATCTTTTTAATTAATAGAGATTTTTTGCATTTTTACAGAAACAAGTCTGAAAGCAAGTGAAACCTTTTTGGTTCCCAGAATTGATTGGGCTGAGCTACGCGCGAACAGGGTGGCAAATCAAGCGAAGAAATGGGAAGGTATTGTAGCTGCTTGCTGTATAGAAGTACAACAGATTGTAAGCCACATATTCTTTAGATATAGCTTCTTGCCTATACCTTTTCATTGACTTTTAAAGTTTTTATTTAGGTTTACCTGTCATCAAAAAAGTATTTTATAAAGAGAGTGAATCAGTCAGGAGAAGGTCCAAAGAGGAAGTTGAAATCTTTAGGTAAATATACAATTATTTATGGACTAGGGTTCCCAGAGTTTGGGGGAAGGACAATTGCTCTTTGGCTTCCGCTTTGCCGGCCCACAAAATGCTACAGGAATAGTGTTACATTACTGTTTGAAATCCATTATCCTCCTTCCAAATGAAAAGAAAATGAGTTTGGGGGTTTTATAAATAGCGTAATGCAGTATATTATAATGCAGTATATTGTATTCCCATAAACAAGGAAAATCAAACCTGCTCTCCCTAAATTTAAAAAAATTCTTGGGGGAGTATCTCCTTAAACCCCCTTACCAGCCCCCAAGTCGCATGAACTACCATTTTTTGTGACTTTGTGTTGTGGAATTGGGACCCCTAAAGAGAATTTTTCCCAAGGGTCCACAATTTTTGTGCAACCATAGTAATCTAGAAGTTTGTGAGTCCAGTTTTAAACATTGCAGTCAGTGACGCACGCTCGCATCTTTAGTCATTGAACGCAAACAAACAGTTGTATATAGAGTTCACTGTCTTTAGTGTGTCACTGACCGCAATGTGTGAAACTGGACAAACATACTTTGAGACCGCCATTTTGCTTTTATGGACAAGTTTTCAGGTTTTTAACGCTGTGCTTGGAAACGTGTTTTATACGAAAGAAAGCAACAATATCTCTGTACAAAATGTCGGTGATGACGTTCAGAACCGAGACATTCCGAAGCCAGTTACGACATTTGACGAGGCCTTTAAAAATTATCGTGAGTAAACATGTTAGTAAAAACAGTATTTAATATTTTCCTAGTTTCCTAGTTACGACCCTGCTTCACGGTGCAATTGTTTATGCAACTTGCAATACAATCCTACTTTTGAGAGATGTGAATTTGCAACTACGAAACTTACCCTCATTAATTTACATCTCTTAGAAGTTTTTCAAAAGTTACTTAACCCAATAACGCACGTTTTGTTCATGTTTTCAGCCGTTATACTCAATGAATTAAAACGTGTTGGATTTGTTAAACCAACTCCGATTCAGGTTTGTAGCGGGATTCAGATTAACGGGATAACCATAGGTAACCCAAATTTGCCTGATAATTTGAACGTGAGAAATGTTTCACGAATTTTGTTAACTTAAAGTGTAATAATATAATAACATTAATATTTTAATATTATTACACTATTTTGACAAAATATTATTATACTATTTTAATAAAATTGCCCAAAAATTTTGCCAACAAAGCCATGAAAAGCAATAACACAGGGTATCCTTACCCCATCTATCTATATCGTTGTCCATCATTGTCCATCGTCATCCACAATTGTCTATTGTTATCCACCAAGCACATAATCATCGTCGTTTACCTTAATTATGCAGTATACGATATAAATAATTCATTTTTCCCAAGAAGCAAACGTCTTGCAATTGCGTGGTAATAAGCTTTGACAAATCTTATTGTTATACGAGTTGCAGGCGGAAGGGAAGGAGTCGGGCAGGTGCGGGTTATCACCTTGTTGCGCAAACTTTCCTGTTAAACTTCAATTGTGCTTTAGTTACCGTGAGTGAAACCTATTTCTATCAGTCTTTCTCATTAAATCTAAATTACATTTAAACTACTAGATCATATTCTGCTATTATTCATTCACGGACATGCGTAACAAGCTCTCCTAACACATTTATTTATGCTTTTCTTTTCTTGATTTATCGCCCAGGTTTGATTTTAGAAATAATTGCAGTGATTTCTATCGTATTTCTTTAATCTTTAGTTTTGTCTGATAGTTCAGCGATAAATAAAGACTATCGTACAGCCTTAAGGCGCATATAACCGATCATACTTTCTCCCCTCCCAAGTGCATTTTAAGAGTTTAAGTTAGCCTACGTGAGGTTAAACAAAGAAATTTTAGAGAGAAAAAACGCGTACTGGCGAGAGAAGCAATTTCGGTTTGTTAGTCCGAATTTCTTGCAACATTTTTTCACAAATACTGTTGTTTGTGTAATGACTAATTTATGAATTCGGTAATGTAAGGTCAAGTATTTATATATTGTTTACTTTTATATGCCTAATTTATGTACTTTTGTAAATACCTATAGCCCTAATGTTTCGTCGGAACCAAGACGACCGGTTAGCAAGTAATCTCAGACATTAAACCAAAGAAGTCTCGCAAATCGCATTATAAATTATATAATAACAATTCGATCTAAATAGAGCAAATTAATACAAAGAAATATTAAAGTAAACATGCATATAAGCCTATAAATGTTCGCACGTGTGGCGTATAAATTACCCATACAATGCATAAATTCTGCGTAAACAAACTAGAATATAAAGTCAATGTCTTACTTCTGTGGCGAGATCCTTTAGCTGTCTATTTCATCGTTTATCGTTCAGGTTAGCCCGTCTTTCTTTCATTTACTTATTTAACAAAACATGCGTTATATTTACACCTTTTCCGTCTCGCTGTGCGTCTATATGCTAATGCTATGATTGCTATTTGATACCTAATATTGTCATCATAGTTTCAAAGTTCAATTATAATGAGTTCCATTCGTGTCTACGCACGTGTATATAAACTGTCAATCCACTCTCCCCCCCGATGAGGACTCTTCCTCATCACTTAATGTTACTAATTGTGAGTTACTTATCTTCATATCCTTCTGCAGGGTACAGTACTGCGACTTTTGTAATAGGTCTTTCGTAGTGCGATGTGGATGTCTTCACCTTAACGTTACGAATTCGTCCGTCATTTCCAGGATATACATTAACAATTCTGCCCGTAGTCCAGTTTCCACGAATCGCATTCGTATCTTGAACCACGACGATGTCATCCACTCGTACATTTCTTTTTTCAGTAGTCCATTCTTTCTGGGAACTAAGGTGGGAAATACATCTCTGCTCCAACGCTTCCAAAAACTATCGATGATCTTCTGGACAAATTCAACACGATGTTGAGGATTCTTCGTTTCTCTGAATGGCCCTTGTGGTACCATTGTTGATGCTCGACCAAGTAAAATGTCGTTTGGACAAAGGAAAGAACCGTCATCTGGATCATTGGGGATCCTTCCAATAGGACGCTGATTAATCAGGTTACTAACTTCCAGCAAGCATGTGTACAGCTCGAACGGAGCCAAAATTTGTTCACCAATCGCGATCTTTAATGCTTTCTTCGAACTCTTGACAAGAGCCTCAGCACAACCGTTATGATGTGGTGCTGCAGGAGTAATAAATCTCCACTCCATTCCTTTCTCGGCGCTGAATTCCTTCAACTCTTTCTCGTTCCATCCTTCTATCATTTCTCGGAGTTCACGTTGAGCTCCCACCAGCTGCGTCCCGTTGTCACTGATCATCAGAGCCGGTTGTCCACGGATTGCGAAAAATCGACGTAAGGTTTGCAAGAATTCCATAGCGGAATAGTCCACTGCGATTTCCAGGTGTACGGCACGAGTATTCAGACATGTAAACAGTACGCCATAGTGTTTGGTTGTTTTGTTTCGGCCAATTTTAACTTGGTAAGGACCGAAGTAATCGCATGCCGTGCGATGAAAGGGTGGTGTGAATGGCTCCAGTCGGGTAATTGGTAGGTCTGACATGAACTGCTCCTCGGTTTTGGCTTGGATTCGGCGACAACATACGCATCGGAACTTTATTGACTTGGCAAGATCATGACATCGGATAATCCAAAACTTTTTCTTGATCTTTGCAACGGTTGTTGCAACTCCTGAGTGGCCGTTTCGATGGAAGTTACGAGTGATCAGCAGGGATATCCAGTGTTCACGTGGGAGTAAAACTGGATGTTTGGCATCGTACGAGATTACGGCTTCGCTTACTCGACCTCCGACTCTGATAACTCCGTTGTCATCGGTAAACGGGGTGAGTCCTTTCAGTTCTCCCTTTTTCAGGCGATCATGAAGTGACTTCTGACTTTGTTTGACCCAATACAACTCGGCATCTTCTAACTCCTTTGCTGAGATTGATCTATCATCTGAGGTGTCTTTCGGTCGGGTCGTTTCTGTGTTGTCTTTGTTTTGATGCTTGTTTCGTAGCGTGTTGATGAACCGTAACACATAGGCTGTGACTCGGATAAGTTTCCCCCAACTGGAAAACTTCTTGCACGGAATGACTTCTGGCGATTGGGTTACTTGAAAGACAGGTTGAACTTTTCGACGTTCAGACTGATCGATATCCACGCTTTTAGTGATGGTAGCAGAAGACGACTCGCTCGGCCATTCTTCCTCCGGTAACTTCAGAAACTCGGGGCCATACTTCCATCTGCCTGTCAGTTGCAGAGCAGGTATTCCTCGCGACACATCATCAGCGACATTTAGCTCTCCAGGAACGTGTCTCCACTGATCTGGTTCAGACTTGCTCTGGATTTCGGCAATTCGGGCTGAAACGAACGGCTTAAACTCTCTGGGTTGGTTACGGATCCATGAAAGAACAATGTGGCTGTCAGAGAAGAAAATTATCTTCACAAACTTCATTCGAGACTCTTCGAGAATAGAACAACATAATCGTGTCGCCAGGACAGCTGCTTGTAGCTCTAAACGAGGTATGGTCAGCGACTTCAGTGGGGCTACTCTTGACTTTGCTGCGATGAACCTGGTTACAAAGGTGTTGTTTTCTGTCTCCCATCTGATGTAAGCACATGCTCCGAAGGCTTCAATCGATGCGTCCGAGAAAATGCATAGTACTGGCGCTCCGATCACGGAATCTGGCGTAAGAGACCTTTCGAAGGTGACGTTGTTCAGGTCGTTCATCTCTTGGAAGAATCGTATCCACGTTATTTGGAGATTCGGCGGCAATTCATCATCCCATTGTAGTCCTTCTAACCACAGTTTTTGCATCTCTATTTTGGCGCGAATCAGGAAAGCTGCAGCTACTCCTAGAGGATCGTAGATCCGAGCTACTTGGCTTAGTATTGCTCTCTTCGTAAGTTTAACTAGTTCAGGAGGAATCACTTTGAACCCAAAAACGTCGTCGTGGTGGTTCCAGACAGTTCCCAAAACTTTCTCTTCAACTGGGCCTTGTAGGAGCTTTAATTCCAATTCACTTTTTTCAATAACGCTTTCATCATTCTTCTTTAATGACCGGTTTGAGAGCCAACACTTCACGTTAAAACCACCGTTGCGAAGGATTTCGTCAATCTCTGCTGTTATTTTTCTTGCTTGATTTTCAGAATGGACCGAATCGCATATGTCGTCCATGTAAGTATTCTTCTTTAAGACTTCAGCAGCTGCAGGGTAGCGTTTTTCTCCTTCTTCAGCAGTCTTTTGCAGCGCGGTCTGTGCCATGGCTGGGGCTGGTTTGTCACCAAATGTCAAGACTGTTTTGACATAAACATCAGGTTCTCGATCCGTATCCATGTTTCTCCACAGGTATCGGTGAACATGTTGATCTCTTTCCGGGATTAGGATTCTGTGATACATCTTGGATATATCCGCGTTGATAGCCACTTCATTTTCTCGAAATCGTAGGAGAACTCCAAACAGATTATTTAGTAAATCGGGTCCTTTCATCCAGTAATCATTTAAGCGGTGCCCTTTATACGATGCTGAGGAATTGAAAACAATTCGGATGGGGGTGCTCTTCTTCTCGGGTCTGACTACCTCATGGTGGGATATGTAGTGGGTTGGTCCCTTGTATGACTTTAATTCTTCACTTGATAATTTTCGAGAGAAGTTCATTTCACTCATTTCCCTCATCTGCTTGTCATACGCTTCTGCATGATCTGGGTTCTTGGCTAATCGACGCTCGGTTGTTTCCAATTTCTTCTCCGCTTGGCTTCTGTTATCCGGTAATTCAGATGCATCTTTGACCCAGGGGTATGAAACTAACCATTTATTACCAATCTTTTTGCAGGATTGTTCTATAATCTTGGCTTCGTAGGCTTCAACTGGACTTAACTTCTTGCTTTCACAAGAACACATATTCCCTTCCACGCCCATTGATTCGGTGGTCCAAAAGTCGGTCATATCGATGGGATTTGAACACTTGACATGGTAGACTTGACTGACGTCACACTTTTCAGACGTGGCTCCAAAGACAACCCATCCCAATGGCGAATATCTTGCAACAAGATTACCAGCTTCTTTTGTCTCACCAGTGTGCAACTTCGGTTGATCAATTCCCAACAGGACATCTATTGGACCATTCTCTCTTCGTAATTTCTCTCTTTCAAGGTTGAAAGCTTCAGCTATGCCATCAAGTTTCATTCCGGAAATATCACCACTGATACTTGGGATTCCCACAGCTGCAATTGTGTGGATGGACTGGTTCTCGAGGGATCGAATTTGGAATCGATACATCTTTGTTGACATCTCATTTTCTTCTCCTCCAACTTTCGCCATTGTTACTGTGACACTCTTGCCTTTGAGACCCAGCTCCTCAGCGACTGATGTCCGTATTAAACTGATTTGAGCACCAGTGTCTAGTAACATATTAGCCTGTTTCTTGACCTTCTGTGGTCCCAGGATTTCTGCCTGAATAGTCGGTAACATAGTCTCTCCGCTAGTAGTAACAGATGACACAGCAGATATGTTTAAAATATGCAATAGTGGATGATGGTAATGCTTGCACTGAACTCCGCTGTGGTCTCGCTGCACTGGCGCCTTCGAGAGCAGGTTGACATGTTGTGACCACGACCAGCTCGCTTCAGGCAGCTATAACAGGCATGGTTCTCCTTCACAACTTTCAGGCGGTCGCTAGCACTCTGGGCAAGGAACTTTTGGCATTGGTCGGTCCAATGTTCAGACGTTTTGCAGAACCAGCACTTATGGTTTGTTGGCTTCCCATCTTCTTTTCCAGTAACATGTCCAACATGCTTGGGTGACTGCCATGAGCTTCTTAATGGTGCCGTTGCTCTCATTCTCGACTTCATCTCACTTGTCATCCAGGAAATTAACGACTCCAATGTGGCTTGACTCTTTGAACTCTCCAAATAGCGTGACCAGACTTTGCGATCGTCGGTAAACATTTTCTGTTCAATGATAGCCAGCATGTGGTTGTTATCCATGTCATTCTCCCGTCCTACTTCTCTAAGGGTGTTGAAACTCCGCTTTATTAAATGGACCAAGTCGCAAAACCGGGCATCTTCTCCGTCCTTTATTGGCTTAAACTTGGAGATATCGTGAGTGATGATGTCAGCAACAAATCGTGGATCTCCATACACGGAATCGAGATATTCCCATGCGGCATCATAGTCTTGACCAATTCCCTTGATCATTTCCAGCGGTTTTCCTTGGAGACTAGACCTCAGAATGGTTATTGCATCACGTTTACTGTATCTATTTTCCACCAAGTGCTTAAAGTCCGCTCTAAAAGTTCCAAATTCTCTGACGTCACCAGTGAATTTTGGCATCTTTGGCTTCTCAATTCGAAATAGGCTTTCTCCTTTGCTTATATGAGTTGCTGTCTCCGCGGTGTTCTCAGTTGTGTTGAACGATGAATCATTAATAGATGTGCTGGGTTGTACAGGATGACTTTGGGTTTCTTGAGCTACTGGTGCTGATATCTGGTTGTCTTGATTTTCTTCATTCGGTATCGATGCATGACTTTCTTCGCCGGCCGGGATTTCGTTAATTTGTTCTTCATTCGACAAGTTCTCTGCGGGAGTATTTACGCTTCCGGTTTCGACAGTATTTTGTTTCATCTCTGATATTTTCGTCTGTTGCTTTATATAATCTTGCGCGTCAATTTTTAAGCGCAGAAAGGTTTCCTGGCATTGTTCAATATATCGTTCTTCCTCATTGAACTGTTCGTCATCTTCGATTAGCATTGTCACTTCTTCGTGTTTGGCTTCCAGGTCGGCAAATGCGTGTTCATAATTATCAAGCGCCCTTTGAACCTCATTGGTCGAACGTTTCCCCTCGATTTGGACTATTATAACTTTCCCGAGCCGTGTTAATGCTGCTTTGCCGTTTCGTCGTTTCATCTTAGCTTTCTTAAAATCGTCGCAATTGCCGTCTTTCGATGTCATATTTCCCATTGTCGTTTTACAGTATAATTCGTCTCAAATTCCTTCGAACCGTGGTTAGCAAGAAATCGAATAGTGTTTCGTCGGAACCAAGACGACCGGTTAGCAAGTAATCTCAGACATTAAACCAAAGAAGTCTCGCAAATCGCATTATAAATTATATATTACCATTTGCGTTCAAGCTTGCGGCGTGCGATTTTAAAACGTACGTTTCACGTTTCAAAACGTACGTTTGCCGTTTCAAAACGTACGTTTTGTCACGCCCCCTGTCATGTTTGGGTTATTTGTAAATACGGTTTTAAAATACTGAATGCAGCTATTTGAAGAAAGAAAATTGCACCTATATAGGTTTACTTTTCTCACAGAGTAAGGTTCCATTTGTAATTCTTATAAAACACTTCCGCAAACGTTACAAATGTGATAAACCTATTTTTGGATATTAGCTAAGTTCGTTTGAACTTCAAAAACATGTCAATTTCATTGTCTAAACATGACAGGGGGCGTAACAAAACGTACGTTTTTGAAACGGCAAACGTACGTTTTGAAACGGCAAACGTAGGTTTTGAAACGTGAAACGTACGTTTTAAAATCGCACGCCGCAAGCTTGAACGCAAATGGTAGTAATAACAATTCGATCTAAATAGAGCAAATTAATACAAAGAAATATTAAAGTAAACATGCATATAAGCCTATAAATGTTCGCACGTGTGGCGTATAAATTACCCATACAATGCATAAATTCTGCGTAAACAAACTAGAATATAAAGTCAATGTCTTACTTCTGTGGCGAGATCCTTTAGCTGTCTATTTCATCGTTTATCGTTCAGGTTAGCCCGTCTTTCTTTCATTTACTTATTTAACAAAACATGCGTTATATTTACACCTTTTCCGTCTCGCTGTGCGTCTATATGCTAATGCTATGATTGCTATTTGATACCTAATATTGTCATCATAGTTTCAAAGTTCAATTATAATGAGTTCCATTCGTGTCTACGCACGTGTATATAAACTGTCAATCCAATTTCTACTGAGTTATGTGAAACCGTGTGGACCTGTTTCCAAAGATATTATATCCCGATGGATAAAGTAAAATATTATGTTATCCGCAGGATGGTCGAATCAACAGACATTTCAACGGTTTTATAATAAACCGAGCGAGGAGGAATTTAATTTTGGCGCTTCGGTGTTAGAGTGCTATACAAACGTTAATTGTTCCTAGGATATATAATATACTATATATATAATATACTTCTCTATATATCGAGATATCTTTCCACTTGGTTTTATCACGCTGGCTATAGTTAGAGTGGTTTGTGTATCTCTGCAGGACAAAGCCCTCACTGATTGCTCTGAAATCTCGTACAACGTCACATGACTTTGGCTGATGACGAAATAGAATTGAAAATTAAACGAGACTTACCTGGAAGTTGAAGTTTGATTTGGCCTGGAGTGTGAGAGTTGTACGCCCCCCCTGTTCTCTCCCATTCCCTTACTTGCAGTCCACTCTCACACTCATCACGTCCGTGCGGTCTTTGTCCGGTAAAGCTCTAAAGACTGATTGGCGCATGCGCTGCACTCTCTCTCGTACAACTCTCACACTCCAGGCTGATGACTCATATAATCCAAATCAAATTTCAAATTCCAGGTAAGTCTCGTTTAATTTTCATGTTTATCTCATTTGAGATAAGATTTAAATTCAATGCCAATGATTCTCGATATGAATCAAATAAACAATGATTTTTGTTTCCAATAACAGAGATATGTTCGGCATCTCTTTCAAGTGAACTTTCCTGAAAAAACACGACTGTTTGCAAATTCAGCAGCAAGTATCCATAAGTGGCGGGTTCATAGTTTATTGATCGTGGCATTTCAATACATTATTTACAAACACCTCTCTGAAGCAACGTTTACAAGTCCAATTACCATCCAATTTTTCGTGGCGATTTTCGTCTTTTGATTGATGTGAACGAGGGAATAGTTATGATGTAATGATGTATAGGTGTTCTTATCTGAACAACCATAACTAAATATACTCGTTTACATCTATCAAAAGAAGATGACAGCAACAATTGCAAATGTAAACGTGTCTTAATACATGCACCTCTTCAATACAGACATCTCCCTGATATGAACATATTTTCAACTGCACAATTCGTCAAGTCAGGAATGGTTAAGATTCATCCTCTGTTAATGATGTGAATTATTGCAAGTGCGTGTGAAGAGATAAACAATTGTGATATCAACAGCTCGTGTAACTCAGGTATATTTACTGCATTCGTTTATTCATTCATTCGTTCGTTCATTTGAGCCGAGCTCAAACTCTTGGCTGAGTTAACAACCTCAAGAGACAGTCGAAACTCTCTGCAGAGAAGAACTTCACAAACTACACACACTTAAATTTTGTTAGATTACATCTGATGCCTGTCTGTCGACATGCTGGATTTTGATTTTGAAGTGCGAATGTTGTATTGTAATCATTTTATCCATGTTCTGGTATAACACGAGTTTACTCGCAAGGTTTTGATAAGCAATTATTCTGGTGAGAGCTAACTCAACTGATGATGTACAACTCTTTCATTCCTTGTAGATAACTGTGATTTTACGCGTGGTAAATATTGTCATTTGGTCCGTGATAAAAACCAGCGCTGCTATTGACAAACAAAGAGAAGATTGAGACAATCCAGGAAGACTGGACCCAGTCGAGACCACACTACAGACTCAGGTATGAAATAAGAGTGATCTCATGACCACCATTACTTCATTACTCTACATCACTTCCATCATTGTTCCATGATTGTCAATTGTTATCCATTGATGCACAAGATTATCATATTTAATCATACCAACCCATCCATAATTATACATCAACACCCCTGAACATTAATCATCATTCTCGTCTTCATTATCATGGTTGCGGAGATCTCTGTTGAGATTTTCGTCTTTTGATAGATGTAATCGTGTCGATATAGGTTACGAGTTTTTAAATAAGGGTCCTTATACCCAGAGCTTTTGGAACTATTCATTCATTTCAATCTGGCTAAGGTCAGATGTCATAATAGTTATTTACGTTCGTGCTGAGTGAGAAATTAAAAAAAAGACTTCGCCAAACAGGCGGAAAGAGCGTTAGTATTCTCCACCTTGAATTGTTTAGACTGTCTCGTTAGAGAAAACTTGATGCATTTTACCAGTCATTTTCATTGTTTTTTTTGGGTTCCCTGTACACTCACTTTTCTCGACATGACCACTGATCTGAAATAAGACGAGTCTAGGTAAGTGTCGAGAGTCGAGAGTCGAGAGTAAAAGGTCGAGAGTCGAGAGTAAAATGTCGAGAGTCGAGAGTAAAATGTCGAGAGTCGATTTCGCGCACAAAATGATGTTTCTATTTATGTATTAAGTTTACTTTTACTTATATTCACTGCACGTTACCTATGCTAAGAGACTATGGTGACACTGTTTTTTTATCAATTGACGCTTTATGTTTCAACTTCCGACCTGGATGCGTCAAGTGACAGAACTCGACGCACACCTTGCGCTTTTTGTCTCGTTTATCAAGCGCGATCGATTCTGTTAAAGATTATATACTCATATTTCTGAGCGTTTTAGCATTTCTGACACACATGCATGTAGACCTCCACGAAATAAAATGCCTGCATTGAATACGCCACAGACAGCGATGTTTGTAAGTGTTATATAGATCTTGCCTTCCTTTATCTGACCCTTCAGATAAAGGTCAATCACAGCAGGTAAAAGTCTAAAAGTAAAAGTCTATAAAAGAAACTAGTGTGAAAAGGGCGTGTTTGTTTGATGAACAAGTCGCAGTATATTTCATTTACGTTACGTTGCTCGCTTCTAGGGCTTTCGCCAGAGCCACGTCTTCGGACTCATTTGGTATTTATTTTCCTCGCCCGAGTTTCCCGAGTTACCGCTCAAAATATCGGAATATAACCGTTTCAACATTCTTTTATATTTTTGCAACACTTTTAAAGACAGAATCGATCGCGCTTGATAAACGAGACAAAAAGCGCAAGGTGTGCGTCGAGTTCTGTCACTTGACGCATCCAGGTCGGAAGTTGAAACATAAAGCGTCAATTGATAAAAAAACAGTGTCACCATAGTCTCTTGGCATAGGTAACGTGCTATGAATATAAGTAAAAGTAAACCTAACACATAAATAGACAACATCATTTTGTGCGCGAAATCGACTCTTGACATTTTACTCTCGACTCTCGACATTTTACTCTCGACTCTCGACCTTTTACTCTCGACTCTCGACATTTTACTCTCGACTCTCGACTCTCGACAATTACCTAGACTCAAATAAGACTGGATAAGGCATCTATAGAAGGCAAAAGTGAAGGCGGAAGTGATCGGCCGCCACCCGATTCAAAGGCCTACTTAGTACTTTCGTTAGTTTCGTATCATTTAATATAGATTTCTATTACAGAACCGGAGTTTTTTGCGTTTTTTTACCTTGTCCACGTTTCTGCCCGGGCCAATTTTACAATCACAAACATAGAAGCATACGAGAAGAAATTTGAGCAAAAAATTTGGAATATTTTGGCTTCATAACGCCGCGAAAACGGATTTTACAACTTCGCGTCTTGGACATCGTTTTATATCAACACCACTCAAAGCGAGCTCGTTTTCATATTTTGGTACAAAATCAACTCAAAAGATAGAATTTCTGCTCTTGGACAAATATTCTCAGAAAACCTGAAGAAACGAAGCGGCTTTATTGCGAACAGCAGTGTACCGAGAGGTTAGTTTTCAAAACACTGTCTAGTATCCTCAGAGGATACTAGCTTCTAGCCTTCTACTATAATTATTATTGATGGTTAGAGAGAACAATTCAGTTCTTTCCTATGTTTCCAATACAACAACATCTTGCAATATGTTTGACCAGGTTGTGAATGTGATTATATTCTGCTTGTGTCAAACATGAAACTTTGTGTTGGTTTAAGAATTCAAGGCTGCCCTGGTATTTTAATTGCAATAACTTTGTAGTTGGTGCATCCAAAGTAGAACCAAGAGCAATCACAGCTAATAGAATATCATGTATATTCTTTGGAGACCACATAAAACTACAATACAACTCACTAACTATGTTGAGGTAGATTTATGCAAAAAATTGTTCCTTTCTCATCACATGTCTATTGTATTTTCCACAGATAAACCAATAGCAATCTTATAATTGACATATTTTTCAAGTCAAGGTTGATGAGCTTAGCAAGATGAATGCCATTGGTAAATTTGGCTATTTTTTAAGGAACCAGGTTATATCATCTTAGATGCCTGTGGAAACATAGGAAAGAACTCAATTGTTCTCTTTAACCATCAATAATAATTATAGTAGAAGCTAGTATCCTCAGTGTTTTGAAAACTAACCTCTCGGTACACTGCTGTTCGCAATAAAGCCGCTTCGTTTCTTCAGATTTTCTGAGAATATTTGTCCAAGAACAGAAATTCTATATTTTGAGTTGATTTTGTATCAAAATATCAAAACGAGCTCGCTTTGAGTGGTGTTGATATAAAACGATGTCCAAGACGCGAAGTTGTAAAATCCGTTTTCGCGGCGTTATGAAGCCAAAATATTCCAAATTTTTTGCTCAAATTTCTTCTCGTATGCTTCTATGTTTGTGATTGTAAAATTGGCCTGGGCAGAAACGTGGACAAGGTAAAAAAACGCAAAAAACTCCGGTTCTGTAATAGAAATCTATATTAAATGATACGAAAGTAGGGCCTTTGAATCGGGTGGCGGCCGATCACTTCCGGCTTCACTTTTGCCTTCTATAGCAACGTCGTTCCCAAGGCATTTCCCTTTTTGTCATTGCCTTCTATAGATGCCTTATCCAGTCTTATTTCAGATCAGTGGACATGACAAACGCCCCCACATTGGAATGAATTTATTCTCTAACAAGTAAACAATAAGCGTTGAATTCATGCTCGAAATAACTTTAATCTATCATTTTTCTTAAATGTATTATTATTGTTCAACTCATAATCATAGAAAATTTGATTTTCACTTTTCAAGTGGGAACGTCAAGCCTTGTGTCAGCAACAGTCTGCACCTGATTTACTTTGCTTTAAAATTTGATTGATAGCTCTATTAAAATGAGCAATATTTTAAACCGTGGGAACTAGGCTGGAGACTTCTCAATGAAAGAAAGTGACACAAATCATCAGGATCCCCGCCACGTCCTTTATACGATAAAAACACTTTGAATTTTTTCAAGCATTATCAAAGATACGTAGATCTCGTTCAAATATACTTTTCTCTGATCCCAGTTCGATATCATGGAAAAGAATATTGTGTTAAGATGATCCTAGGAAACTCTGTGAATGAAGTGACAGGAATATTTGTACAAAAAGCCCGCACTAACATATTGTAGGTGAAGAAACTTAGCGGGATTCCGGCCTGGAAATTTCCATATGGTAAAATTACAGGATGAACATACCACAAGATTGTGAGGAATTCAACGCAAGAATGAATATGCTTTGAAATATTGTCTTGTATTTACTTGTGTTGGAGTAAGGAAACTCGGTATGTCTTCAATTGTGACAAGTATTCTCAGTTCAACACTTGGTTTATTATGGAATAAGGTCCGAGACTCGACGGCAGACAAATTCAAAGACGGCGATGTAACCGATGCAGAAATTCGAAAGATTGTCGTACGAGAGTTAAATGATATCAAGTCTAAAATCGATGGCCTTTCTAGATCGACTTTACTCGCCAGTTATAATTTCCTAGAAGAAGGAGTTGAGTTACTCAGTGTTTCTCTTGATAAATCAAATCCCGAGCAGAAAGCGAGCGAAACTCAGGACGAACCAGGTGAACCTTCAAGCGTTATTCAATCTGGTATCTTAAACCAAGCAATAGAGCTTCCTCGTGCCATGGAAAAGCTTAAAATCAACTCAGACATAGAGTTTGAAACTGCGAGAAAAAGATTCGAGAAAGCGCGCGAGACAGCAACCACTGCTTTCTGGAATGAGGCATTTAGTATCGAAGATCGAATTTTTGCTGCGAAGCTACGAATAGTTTCAGAAATACTGGAACATCTCAATAGTCCTGAGACCGCAATCACTGGGTGTTTGTCGTTTTTGAAGAAGCTTCATAGCTTACCAGCCATTCAAGAGATATTCTCGGTGTATTTGAACGGTGGAGTCAAATCGTTGTTGAATAAAAGTCAACGAGTGGGGAACGTCAAGTCGGTTATGTTAATCAACTATGTGTTGTTTCAATATGTTTGGAAATTCAGCAGCAAGTATTGGTTTGAAGTGTTCGCATGCATGCCAACGATTGAACTTCCTGATCGTAGTTTTCACCCAATAAGAAATTGGAACGAAATTTCAACAAGAAAGTCTATGGGAGAGGAATTGCCTTATCCTTCCTACGAACAGTTCCTTGATGAAAAAATAAACCTCTTCTTCTCTGCTGTGAACAGTCAGGGGGATGTTCTTACTGTCCCTGATACTGGGTCTCGTGACCACATCATGATTATTATCCATGAGACAGGAAAAACCAAACGGGTTGAAATACCTGAATTTGCAGGTTATAATGGCCGTTTTTATACTACAGACGATAATGTCGTCGTAGACGACATTAACGTTTTCGGACGATATTAACGTCCAGTATAAATACGGTCAGTAAGGCAGGCGACATTACCGTCACACGACATTGTCGGCTTAAGTTAAGAGCGTCTATGAGACGCACTTACAGACGAAATTAACGTCTAACGGTATTATCGTCTGCAATATAAAAACGTGAAGGCATTATAATGACGACCCAAACGCAAATTATCAGCTGAATGAAATCGAGGCTGAGCGCAGAAAAAACATGGCGTCCAAAAAGAGAGAGACTCGTGGTCCAAAGTGGAATTCATTCGAGCTTAAACTGTTCGCACTTGTTCTTGCAGACGACGAAAATGACTTTGCACTTACATTGGAGTCTCTGGCACTAAAAAAATCGGCCAACATTCATGTATTTGAAAGTATAAAAAAAGAATTTGATGAAAAGCTTCGAACACAAACGTTGGCAACTACTGAAACAACACAAAATGAAACTGAGCAACCCTCTAAGTCCAGGAAAAAAGAAAAGCGAAAGACGATCGATACGTCAATACCCAAGCTACGAGCAAAGTACAAATGGATGAAAGACAAGTGGAAACAATACACTGATAGAGCAAAGTCAGGAAGCGGGAAAGCATCTTTCGACGAACCGGAATGGTTTCACATCATAGACCCTATACTATCTGAAACCAACGCGAAATTAAAACTTGCTACAAAAGCAGATGATCTGAACTCCAGTCTAAGCGAAGATAGTGATTATGCTAAAAGTGACGATGGGAAAGAATTCGAAAGTAACAAAATACAACTTTCAACAAGAGATCTGCAGCCAAGTCCTTTATCAATTGGGTCAAACACCTCATCTTTTGATGGGACAGAATCAACAAACCTGGATCAAACCTGCTCCTCAGCAGATGAGGATGAAGGCAATAACAGGTACTGTACGGGTCTTGTAACTTACTAGATTTATAATTACAAGCATATTTTTTGAAATATGACCCCCTAACTTTATAGGTTACTGAATAGAAATAGCTTACTGGGTTACAACTCACAAGGCACAGACAGGGTGGATTGTAGAGTGAATGAAAAATTACAGCAATATGAATACACCTCACTCTATTTCTTTCTGTTATGCACTCGTCATTGGGAACCCCCACCCTCCTCACCCCAATGGGAGGGATTCTCCACCTAACAATCACGATCAGACTGCATAGGAGACTACACCCCGGAGAAATGTGGGGCATTAGGTTTTTCATCATTTCAAAAAAAAAGCCCTACATTTTGGGGACAAACTTTTAGTCTAAGCCCCACCTATACATTTTAATGTGTGTGTGTTTATAGCTTTTTTAAATGTTGTCTTAGCTCTGAGATTCATTCATGAATAGATTTTAAATATTTATATATTTTGATATACTTGGAGATGCTTGAATGACCATTACTAAATTATATATTAATAACGAAAACTTTATTCAACTTTCGTATATACTTACAATTGCAAATCTCCTTTACCTTCCCCTTCGCCACCTTACGCTAAACCTTTCCCTAGGTATGCCCCATATTTTCCTGGGGTGGGGGGTTCCCAATGACAAGTGCATTATTTAACTAAAATCATAATGCTTTACAAAAATTATGGCTAATTGCAAAGTAATACATGCTAATTGTAAGACATAAAAATAGGTGAGGTCTGTATTCCAACAAAATGTTTACTGAAATTGCAGTTCTTCCAATGCTAAAGAAGTATCAAAGAAAGAGGCTGTGAAGTCCAGTGTATTTGTGCAGCCCAAAAAACGTAAAGTGACTTCTCAAAGGATGCTATTGCTAAACTGGCATCCAGCTTTGATAATCTCCAAAAATCACAGGAAAAACGCATGGAAATGTGGGCAGAAGCTGAACGAAAGAGAGAAGAAACTTTTCTACAGTATCAAGAAAAACAAGCAGAGTTAAACAGACAGCATGAAATGCAACTCATGGAGATGATGATTCGCCTACAGCATCCTGTCCAACACCCTTTGCAACCACAGCAAAATGCTTCACCTTGGGTCATACCTGATGTTGCATATCCACTGAGTACCTTTAATGAAGCATCCTCTCCTCAGCCACACTATACCAATTTGGATGGTTTTAATAGAAAGGGTTAAAAAGGTTTAAAACCTTTTTATTGATCACATGAAGACTTGGACTAGCATTTCCATTCAGATTGCTGTATTTTATTCTTGTTTTAAAAGGGGTTTTTTGACATTTATGCTTGGAAAATCTAAACCAAGAACTTTTGAAAGAAACTATAGTTTGTATTCTAAAGAACAGTTTCAACATTGCCTTTTATTGGCTTAACTCAATAAAAAGCAATGTTCCATAGGCATACACCTTATTTCATTGTTAATACCAAACAATTTATTTAAAGCCTAATTACCCTCCCTAATTATATCTTACACCGGCAAACTGCTGAAAAGTCTAACAATATGTCATCATAATTTATAGTTTATTTGTGAAATATATATTTGTTAAGATACTGTACTGTTCATATCAATAAGTTGGTGGTTTGCTCAAAGGTACTATTTGACTATATGACCAATGATGTTATGGTTCTGGCAAAAAATATTTTATACTACAAACTGTGGTCCCTGCTAATTTAGACAATTTACTATTTGGTCACCCAACATATTTCATTATACCAAAAAAACCTGCAGAAATATTAAGTATTGGCAAGCAAATGTTTGAACATAGGATTTAATACTGCTGCCCTACTTCACTACTTCTCTCTAAAAGCTTTCTAAAAACATAGATTGCAAACTTATTACATTGTGCTTCAAACTTTCTGTCTTCTAATTAATTCAAGGTTTTAATTTTTTACCCTCACCCAGTGTGGTGTCTTCAGACAGTTATATCCTTTACCCTATCAGTTGCCTTTTCTGTTGAATATCCCAAAGCCAATCAGTAATGGTCATTCTGACCTGGTCTGCCTCATTTGTATTTTGATCCCTGGTGTCCTTGCTCCTGATAAGGTCCAATTTGCTTACCTCCAGCCTCCACCGAGGTCTACAAGGGTCATCTCGTTGAATGCAAATGTTATGAAGAGCTATGCAAGCCATAATTATGTGCCTGATATTTCTCAACCTACACTCAGTCTTCTTATATAGTACTCTCCATCGTCCCTTAAGCATTCCGTAGGCATGTTCTGTAACAACCCGAGCTGAACATAGTCTTTTGTTAAAATAGCGTTTAATAGGATCTCTTGTATTTTCATTATATGGCTTCATCAGCCAGGGGTAACGTGGAAAAGCTGAATCACCCACTGTTGTGATGGGTATATCTCCATAATCATTTGTTCTTAGAGAAGCCTTGGGAAAGACATGTCCCTGTTGAATTTCATGAAATAGGGTGCAGCTCCGGAGTAACCTTGAGTCATGTGTTGATCCAGGTGCCCCAACAGCTGCCCAATAAAACCTCTTGTCTGCAGCAACAAATCCCATGGAAGAGACTGAGTAACGCTTCTTGAAAGCTAAAGTAATTTTTTAATTTTGTGCTGACGTAAACATGGAAACCATCCCATGCCCCAACACATAGGAATTCCCAATTCTCGAGGAAATTTCGGAGTTCTTCTTTCCACTCTGACTGGTTTCGTGGCAAATAAACATATTTGTCATAAAATGTTGAAACCAATATCTTGCATACTTCATTAAAAATGACTGAAGCAGTTGATTCAGCTACACCAAACAGGTCTCCTAGGGTACTGAAGGTACACCCATGCGCCAGCCTGTATAGACAAATTGCTAGCCTAGTGTGCGGGGGAATAGGACGCGGTTTGAAACGAGTGGGAGTTCTTACAAGTTTGCTTCTTATATCTCCCAGCAAAAAATGAAATGTATCTCTATTTATTCGTAGGCGCTTTTTGAACGCAGCATCACTCCAATTTTTGTATCCATGTTCCCACCACGAAGTATCTCTTGCTTCATCTTGATCTCGTAACTTTCTAGGTTTCTTTCTTGCTACCACAGAACACAAAACCAATCGCCCCCAACATTTCTTGCTCATCGTCAATTTCTAATAAAACCCGCTTCGTTGCTCGATTTTTGTTTCTTAAAAACATTTCCACTTCCATTTTTTGCTTTTCCTGTCGCCTTCTAATAATTGACTTCATAAACTGCTGCGTAGTAAGTGAAGTACATGCCATTATTTAAATTTTAGAATGTTTTTATTGTAGATATTACCTTGTTGTCAGTATTTCCTTTTCGCACAATTGTTTTGCGCCAGAATACTTGTGTCCAGGTCGCTTCCGATCGAAACCCGGTCCTTTTCTCTGGATTGAACCCAGTCTCTTTTCTCAAATTTATTGCACGGTTTGTGGCACCATCAATTTTCCGTCTTGTCATAGCTATCCCGTCTTTATCTTAGAAGACATTAACGTCTGAGACCATATTAACGTCCGGACGACATTATCGTCTGTAGTATAAAAACGGCCAATTTAAAGGCGCTTGCTGTTGATATGAATAACAATGTTTACGTGGTGAGAAGACGTTTCAATGTAGTATTCATGTTGACGATATTGGACGAGAATTACAATGTAAATGCAAATCATACATTGAATTTTCTCGAGGACATAACTTTTTCTAAAGTTGAGATCCGAATATGCAAAGACGATGATATTATCATCATCAAACACGAAGACCCTCATGTGTATGTTTGTGACAAGACGTGTCAATTGAAATACAAGTTTAAACGTCATTCGAGTAAGGCATTTTCATTGAGTATTTCCCAGCAGAATGAAATCATGATACCAAGAGACGATCGTACGGCGGTTCAAATATACACCAAGGAAGGAAATCTGAAGACAACAATAAAAGTCCCAGAAGATCATGAGGTATGCAGCGTCGCATTTCACTACGAAATTTGTAAAATATTGGTTTTAACCTGGGTTAAGGCAAAGCATTCCTATTTCATTCTGTGCTACCCTGAAGCAGGCGGGGAGCTGAAGACTCTTTATACCTTCTGTTGTGAAGATAGCGATTCATGGGTTTCCAAACTGGTATCCCATCCCAAGGGTCCTGTTGTTGTTGTAAGAGACAGAAGCATCACTTACCTTTAATGAGATTTAGTATGAACAAACATTTCCTGCATAAAACACAGTAAATACTTGTCTGAAATAGTGCAACTCTCAATTAACTAAAGCAAACAATAGATGCAGCATGGTTTATATAATTTGTGAGACTTTGCTGAATTACGTCCCATTAAAGTGTTTCTGTTTCTGTTGTAAGAGAGACAAGTGTAACTTATATTTAAATAATTGAAATAATAATGTTTTTTGACATTTGCCAACATGGACAATAAATAAGCTTTTAATGACATTTTAATTAAAGGATATGAATCTTATTTGATATGATATAATATAGTGAAAACTTTCTTTGTTCTTGTAATAAATGATCAGGTTCTTAACATAATAAACTTATGAAACCATGCCTGGCTAAGCTTAGAGCTATGTATGAATCATATTATTAGTGGGTATATTGATGGCTTCTATCTGCAGGGTGATACATATGCTAAGTGTGCTACAAATGCTCTTGACACAGTTGAAACATTTGACTGCCTAGATCTAGTTATCCATCCTGATAAGTCCACTCCTTCCCCTTCTCAAGAGGTAATTATCCTAGGATTTGTCATTACCTTGATAACAATGACTATCCAAGTTACAAATGAGAAAAAAAGGAAAAAATTAAAAAAATTTTGTTTGATGTTATTGAATGTCCAGTGTTTCAAGTTTATTCTCTTTGTAACATATACGTATATTTATATATTTATTCCCTAAACTCAGTCCAACAAATTACAACCTTTTCACTTCACGTCTCTGTCCTTCACACCCACTTATCAATCACAACCCTCCTAACAACTTATTAAATATTAACCCTATCATTAATAATATCAACCTTATTACATAATGTAACATCCAGCAGACATTCCTATCCAGCAGGTAGCCAAGATTATTGGTTACCTAGTCTCCTCCTTACCTGGGGTTCAGTATGGGGCCCTTCATTATAGGTACCTTGAAATGCATAAAAAAGATGCTCCTAAAAGAGCTAAGGGTAATTTTGATTCCTCTATGACTGTCTTTGAGGATGGCTTGATAGAGTTACAATGGTGGGTCGCCCATCTTGAAGAGAGTTTTAGATTTCTTTTCATTCCTCCTATTGATATAACTATATACTCTGATGTACCCCTAGAAAGATGGGGAGCTGTACTAGGTGATACATCTTCAGTGGGAAGATGGTCGCCAGATGAATGCGCCCATCACATAAACTACATTGAACTTTTGGCTGCATTTTTTGCCCTTAAACTGTTCTGCACCACTCTTAAGTGGTGTAAGCATGTAAAACTCATGATAGATAACACCACAGCAGTAGCTGTAATAAATAACATGGGTTCTTAAAACGTTAATTGTTCCTAGGATATATAATTGTAGTGCATTAGCACAATTAAGTAATGAAGTGTGATTAATGAGCATGCAAATTAGAATAAGTGTACAGGGTGTCTCAAAAAAAACGCAACACTTAAATATGCAAGAACATTAATACAGCTCTAAAGCGCAATAGATAAGCACCTCTAGGAATTGAAAATGGCTCTTAATCCTTCATTTAAAATGCTAACAGTCATTTTAGCTGAACTATGGTGCAAACCCGAACAATATTAATATTCTTGCATATTTAAGTAGTCGTGTTTTTTTTGAGACACCCTGTATATTGACATCGATTACATGCAGTGTAGGTTCTAGTGTTGTTTTTGATCGCAAGAAGCGGCGGAAGGCCAGATTGAGAATCAGTCAGAACAAGTTGTGGACGAACGAAAACAACAACTCGGTATTGTTATTGAAACACGGGAATGAAGGCGAGAGAAATATGTGTTTTGTTAACCGAGCAGAAGGGAATTATTAAGACGCAGCAAGTAATGCAACAGCAGTTCATTGAGGGGATAAGAGATTGGCAGCGAACACAAACAGAATTATTAGACGGATTAAAGGAGAAATTCGCGAATGAAGTTTTAACAATTATTCGTTGGTTAAGTGATTTTGAAGCGGATATTTACTGTAGATTTGACAAAAAGAGACGAGAGATCATCGAAGAAGGGAAAGTTAAAGACGAAAAAGCTTTAGATATGTACTCAAATCTTCTGGCGTCGAGGATCGAGGATATGAAACAAGAAATTAAACCGGAATTTATCCAAAAGATTAGCAAAGACATTGATGATAAACTTTCTTGCATACAAAGTGCCTCAACACCTCAAGTAATCGGGCGCGTGCGAGTAAAACCGGTTGACAACACTTTTGGAGAAATACCAAAGTTATCAAATAATCAAAAACTTGTAAACTCGCGACGCAAAAGAAAAAACCGAGCTCATTTTACAACTCGGTAGAAGAAAATCGGGCGAGTACAGTTCAAAGAGCGATACATCAATATTACATGAAGTACATAAACCAACGCAGAGACCAACAACATTTAATTATGATGGCAAAACGTCCTGGGATGCATATAGAACACAATTTGAAATTGTCGCAGAAATATAAATGGCTTGGACGATCGGGAAAAGGCTGCTTTTCTTTCAACCAGTTTGCAGGGGCAAGCAGTAAACATCTTAAATTGTCTGTCAGATTCAAGTAGACGTGACTACAAAACTCTGTTGCAAGCATTAGATCGCCGTTACGGGACCTTGTGTCAGTCTGAATTAAATCGAGCTACTTTACGAAATCGTTTACGACGTTGCGACGAAAGCCTCGCAGAATTGGCGGGAGACATTGAAAGATTGCTTCGACTTGCATATCCTAATGGCACGTCAGAAATGATTGAAGCCTTGGCTGAGGATCATTTTGTGGATGCGGTGCTTGACGAGGAGATTCGCTTACGAATTGCTCAGAGCAGACCACTCTGAAACTACACTGCGACAAGCCTTGGAAATTGCCTTGGAGTTAGAGTCGTTCGCACTGGCCAGCAAACGACGGTCGCGGTATGTGCGCGAGATCCGAATTGAAGAACCCCGAAACCAAACTCGATAATCAAAACCACTCCGTGGAAGAGTATGATGGATCAACTAAATGAATTAACAAAAGAAATGAGAAATTTCACCGGGAAAATGGGCAGACAGCCAGACATGAATACAAGGTTTAACAGATCAACTTCACCTCTGCGAAAATGCTGAACGTGTCGTGGGAATCACTTGCAGAAGGAATGCCCTGATTACCACCGATCAAGAATGAATCAACCCATTAATGAAAACGAAGAGAAAAACTGGGAACAGAGAAATCGACCACTTGAAGGAAATCTCGAAAATCGTCGCCAAGAATTGCGGAATGATCGCAGAAGTGCGTCAACAGAGCGGAATACGCGAATTCAGGGAAACGGAGGGTAGCTGGGTGGGCAAGGGGTCAGGATCCAGCTAATAAACACGCGAAAGAAACACGCGAAAGCTTGCTCATAAACAACGATAGCGGACAACAAAGTAGTGACGTTGGTGCAAAAGAAAGAGAGAGAGAAACTCAATTGATAAACCGCGACAATCTAGTTGCACGAATATGTGATTCTGGAAAGACAGTTTTTGAACAAATGAATAAGGAGGCTTACTAATTTAGAAAGGCTCCCATTAAGACCTATTTAGTTGGAGCACCAATCGAAAGAATCTGTGTAGACATCAACCGAAATCAGAAGAAGCAAACAAATATCTGATGGTATGCATGGACTACTTTAACAAATGACTCGAGCGTATCCGATTACTGCATTCGTTTATTCATTCATTCGTTCGTTCATTTGAGCCGAGTTCAAACTCTTGGCTGAGTTAACAACCTCAAGAGGCAGTCGAAACTCTCTGCAAAGAAAAACTTCACAAACTACACACACTTAAATTTTGTTACATTACATCTGATGCCTGTCTTTCGACATGCTGGATTTTCATTTTAAAGAGAGAATGTTGTATTGTAATTATTTTATTCATGTTCTGGTATAACACGAGTTTACTCGCAAGGTTTTGATAAGCAATTATTCTGGTGAGAGCTAACTCAACTGATGATGTACAACTCTTTCATTCCTTGTAGATAACTGTGATTTTACGCGTGGTAAATATTGTCATTGGGTCCGTGATAAAACCAGCGCTGCTATTGACAAACAAAGAGAAGATTGAGACAATCCAGGAACACTGGACCCAGTCGAGACCACACTACAGACTCAGGTATGAAATAAGAGTGATTTCATGACCACCATCATTATTATGAATAGTCATTACCTCATTACTCTACATCGCTTCCATCATTGTCCATGATTGCCAGTTGTTATCCATCGATGCACAAGATCATTATCTTCAATTATACGTAACGATCCATCGTTATCCATGAAAATGTACCAGATCTGGTCACACTGACTTCAATATTTACAGGTTCCACAGTTTCCTCCGTCAACGACGACCAACGCAAATCCGTAACACTGGAAGCAATCAAGACAACACAACTGGAACTGGTAAGAAATAGGAGTGATTCATCATCACCATTTCTCATCATCACCACCGTGCAATAACACGGGGTATCCTTACCCCATCTATCTATATCGTTGTCCATCATTGTCCATCGGCATCCACAATCGTCTATTGTTATCCACCAAGCACATAATCATCGTCGTTTACCTTAATTATACAGTATTCGATATAAATAATTCATTTTTTCCCAAGAAGCAAACGTCTTGCAATTGCGTGGTAATAACCTTTGACAAATCTTATTGTTATGCGAGTTGCAGGCGGACGGGAAGGAGTCGGGCAGGTGCGGGTTATCAGCTTGTTGCGCAAACTTTCCTGTTAAACTTCAATTGTGCTTTAGTTACCGTGAATGAAACCTATTTCTATCAGTCTTTCTCATTAAATCTAAATTACATTTAAACTGCTAGATCATATTCCGCTATTATTCATTCACGGACATCCGCAACAAAATCTCCTAGCACATATATTTATGCTTTTCCTTTCTTGATTTATCGCCCAGGTTTGATTTTAGAAATAATTGCAGTGATTTGTATCGTATTTCTTCAATCTTTAGTTTTGTTTGACAGTTCAGCGATAAATAAAGACTATCGTACAGCGTTAAGGTGCATATAACCGATCATACTTTCTGCCCTCTCATGTGCATTTTAAGAGTTTAAGTTGGCCTACGTGAGGTTAAACAAAGAAATTTCGGAGAGAAAAAACGCGTGCTGGCGAGAGAAGCGATTTCGGTTTGTTAGTCCGAATTTCTTGCAAGATTTTTTCACAAATACTGTTGTTGGTGTGATGACTAATTTAGGAATTCGGTAAGGTCAAGTATCTATATATTATTAACTTTTATATGCTTAATTTATGTACTTTTGTAAATACCTATAGCCCTAACTTAGTTCTGTTGAAACTGTGTTTTGTTCAACTACGAACACGCAATGATTTCATCTCGCTCGTGTCTATAACTTTTCCTATAAAACTTGGCTCGTGCAGTGACATAAGACTAAAGTGAAATACAGCTGGGATATTTATATACGAGATCGCTCCCTGATATATTGTAGACGATGTAAGCAAGGTAATTCTATACTGTAAACTTGAACAACCTTCATATCTCGCCTGTTTCTCATGTGATGAAGTTCCCGGAAGAACGTAGATAAAAACATCGTTAGGAATCATATGATTGAATGTGTTTGAGCATATTCACCAGTGTTTAGTCAAAGTTTAGCCATAATTTTTCGCTTCAGTAAAGAAACTGGGTATGTCTTCAATTGTGACAAGTATTCTCAGTTCAACAGTTGGTTTATTATGGAATAAGGTCAGAGACTCGACGGCAGACAAATTCAAAGACGGCGATGTAACCGATGCGGAAATTCGTAAGATTGTCGTACGAGAGTTAAATGATATCAAGTCTAAAATCGATGGCCTTTCCCGATCAACTTTACTCGCCAGTTATAATTTTTTAAGAGAAGGAGTAGAGTTACTCCGTGTTTCTCTTGATAAATCAAATCCCGAGCAGAAAGCGAGCGAAACTCAGGACGAACCAGGTGAACCTTCGAGCGTTATTCAGTCTGGTATCTTAAACCAAGCAATAGAGCTTCCTCGCGCCATGGAAAAGCTTAAAATCAACTCGGACAGAGAGTTTGAAACTGCGAGAAAAAGATTCGAGGAAGCGCGCAAGACAGCAACCACTGCTTTCTGCAATGAGGCATTTAGTATCGAAGATCGAATTTTTGCTGCGAAGCTACGAATAGTTTCAGAAATACTGGAACATGTCGATAGTCCTGAGACCGCAATCACTGGGTGTTTGACGTTTTTGGATACCCTTCATAGCTTACCAGGCATTCAAGAGATATTCTCGGTGTATTTGAACGGTGGAGTCAAATCGTTGTTGAATAAAACCCAACGAGTGGAGAACGTCAAGTCGGTTATGTTAATCAACTATGTGTTGTTTCAATATGTTGGGAAATTCAGCAGCAAGTATTCATTAGAAGTGTCCGCCTGCATACCAACGATTGAACTTCCTGATCGTAGTTTTCACCCAATAAGAAATTGGAAGGAAATTTCAACAAGAAAGTCTATGGGAAAGGAATTGCCTCATCCTCCCTACGAACAGTTCCTTGATGAAAAAATACCCTACTGCTCTGCTGTGAACAGTCAGGGGGATGTTCTTACTGCCCGTGGTACTTGGTCTCATGACATCATGATTATCAATGAGACAGGAAAAATCAAACGGGTTAAAATACAAGAATTTGCAGGTTATATTTTTAAGGTGCTTGCTGTTGATATGAATAACAATGTTTACGTTGTGAGAATGAGAAAACTTTCAGGTGAAGGATTCATGTTGACCATATTGGACGAGAATACAATGTAAAAGCAAATCATACATTGGATTTTCTCGAGGGCAAAGATTTTTCTCTAGTTAACATCGCAATATTCAAAGACGATGATATTATCATCATCCAAGGCAAAGACCCTCATGTGTATGTTTGTGACAAGACGTGTCAATTGAAATACAAGTTTAAACGTGACTCGAGTGAGGCATTTTCATTGAGTATTTCCCAGCAGAATGAAATCATGATACCAACAGACGATGGTACGGCGGTTCAAATATACACCAAGGAAGGAAATCTGAAGAACAACAATAAAAGTCCCAGAAGATCATAAGGTATTGCAGCGTCGCATTTCCTACGAATTTGTAAAATATTGGTTTTAACCTTGGTTTGGAACAAAGTTTCCTGTTTCATTCTGCGCTATCCTGAAGCGGGCGGGGAGCTGGAGACTCTTACCTTCTGTTGTAAGGATAAATATTCCTTCACTTTCAAATTGGTATCCCATCCCAAGGGTCCTGTTGTTGTTGTAAAAAACAGAAGCATCATTTACCTTTAATGAACACAGAAAATACTTGTCTGAAATAGTGCAACTTTGAGTTAACTAAAGCAAACAATAGATGCAGCATGGTTTATATAATTTGCGAGAATTTGCTGAATTACGTCCCATTAAAGTGTTCCTGTTTCTGTTGTAAGACAGACAAGTGTAACTTATATTAAATAATTTAAATAATGTTTTTGACATTTGCCAACATGGACAATAAGCTTTTAATGACATTTTAATTAAAGGATATGAATCCTATTTCATATGATATAATATAGTAAAAACTTTCTTTGCTCTTGTAATAAATGATCAGGTTCTTAACATAATAAACTTATGAAACCACCCCTGGCTAAGCTTAGAGCTATGAATCATATTATTAGTGGGTATATTGATGGCTTCTATCTGCAGGGTGATACATATGCTAAGTGTGCTACAAATGCTCTTGACACAGTGGAAACGTTTGACTGCCTATATAGATCTAGTTATCCATCCTGATAAGTCCACTCCTTCCCCTTCTCAAGAGGCAATTATCCTAGGATTTATCATTAACTTGATAACAATCACTATCCAAGTTACAAATGAGAAAAGAGGAAAAAATTAAAAAAATTTTGTTTGATGTTATTGAATGTCCAGTGTTTCAAGTTTATTCTTTTTGTAACATATACGTATATTTATATATTTATTCCCTAAACTCACTCCAACAAATTACAACCTCTTCATTTCAAGTGTCTGTCTTTCACACCCACTTATCAATCACAACCCTTGTAACAACTTTTTATATATTAACCCCGTTATTAATAATATCAACCTTATTACATAATGTAACATCCAGCAGACATTCCTATCCAGCAGGTAGCCAAGATTATTGGTTACCTAGTCACCTCCTTACCTGGGGTTCAGTATGGGGCTCTTCATTATAGGTACCTTGAAATGGATATTAAAAGATGCTCCTAAAAGAGCTAAGGGTAATTTTGATTCCCCTATGACTGTCTCTGAGGATGGCTTGATAGAGTTACGATTGTGGGTCACCCATCTTGAAGAGAGTTTTAGATTTTTTTTCATTCCTCCTATTGATATAACTATATGCTCTGATGCATCCCTAGAAAGATGGGGAGCTGTACTAGATGATACATCTTCAGGGGGAAGATGGTTGCCAGATGAATGCACCCATCACATAAACTACATTGAACTTTTTGCTGCATTTTTTGCCCTTAAACTGCTCTGCACCACTCTTAAGTGGTGTAAGCATGTGAAACTCATGATAGATAACACCACAGCAGTAGCTGTAATAAATAACATGGGTTCTTGTCATAGCCGTATTTGCCGCTCTATGAGCTGCGAAATCAGGGAATCTTGTTTGTATAAAATACAACATTTGGCTTACTGCTGCTCACATTCCTGGTTCGCAGAATGTGTTAACACGCAAAGAATCTCGTCATTTTCATAATCCAGATAGCGAATGGAAACCAAACCATTGTCATTACATAATGCGCTCAGTACCTTGAATTTTCACACTTAGATCGATCTTTTTGCATCACACTTAAATATAAAACAGTTTCCAACATATTGCTCTTATCCGCCGGATCCTGGAGCAGCGTTCGTAGATGCTTTCTCTATTTCGTGGATTGACTTGAAATTTTATTGTTTCCCGCCGTTTAGTTTTCTGTTACAGGCTGTAAAGAAAATAATTCAGGAGCATGCCAAGGGAATTTTAGTTGTTCCCGACTGTCCCACCCAGCCTTGGTATCCTTTGCTAGCCTCTCTTCATGTTCCACCTCCTGTGGTCCTACAACCCAATCACAAACTACTGAACCTCGGTCGGAAATCATCGGAAACAAGCCAGGCTTTTCTACCTTCGATCCACGGCCCACGATGGCTTGCGAGGTTGGCAATAGCCTTTCAGAAATACAACCTCTGAGCTCGTCTATCCTAAGTTAAACACTTTTATTTTCTTGTTTCAGCTCCTGTTGCTGGTCATTGGGGTCGCTGGTCCTCTTGGACAGAATGCGATGAAAATTGCAAGCGTCATCGATCCAGAAAATGTTCAGATCCTGCCCGATGCATGGCGGGAAAGACTGCCCAGGGGTTGGGAAAGAAGAAAAAGATTGCTACGCCAACAGTACATGCAACCCAGGTTTGTTTTTTGGATAGGTTCATTTCAGCTTTGTTAGACAACTTCTTGTCTCTGCCTGCCCATCATGTTTGAAGAGCGTTTTAGCTGCTCAGGCGAAGTCTCGTTAAACTAATGATGAAATATTCTTTTATTTCTTTGTAGATAACTGTGATTTTACGCGCGGTAGTTACTGTCATTGGAACCGTTATAAAAACATGGATTATTTCTGGCAAGCACATAAAGGATCAACACCAACCGGGAGCACTGGTCCAAATCAAGACCATACTACTGGCACGGGTAAGAAATTTCAGGGATACATAATCATCATTTGTCATCCCCTTTTGATCCCAACTCATCAGCCATCTCTATCCCTCACTTTCCATGGTTATCCATCATTATCAAACAGTTATTTATTATTTTCTATCGTTACTAATCGGTGCACCTGATCCTCACTATCCACTATTATCCCACAAATATCCATGATTTACGACCATTATCCAAGACGATTCAGCCTTATCCATAATTTCCATTATCGTCAAATTTCCAGGCCATTACATTCTTACCGAGGCCAGCTTCCCTGCCAAGGAGAACGACACAGCACTCCTAACAAGCAAACTGTTTCCACCCTCGCAATGTCGTTGCATTTCCTGGTACTATCACATGTATGGCCGCTCAATGGGAGAACTCAGCGTGTACATTAAAGACCCTGTGGGTTCTAAGAGGATAATATGGGATAAGAAAGGTGATCAGGGAAACAGATGGATATTAGGTAGCGCAACAATATCTAACGTGTCTATGACTAGTTACCAGGTTTGTATGATATTTTCGTTATAGTTGATAACTTTTTTACTCTTCGACATTACTTTGGGGTCATCCATGGAAGTATGGCAATGCCTTACATCGGATTTCGAAAGAAATGCTCTTATAATTTCCAAGCATCTTTGATCTTCGAATGTTTATTTAAAACCGTTTTATTCCTGTGGAAAAACTACTGCTTGTTCACATTCTTACGTCACAAATTTTCATTTAGGTGGAATTTGAGGCAATTCGTGGCCGATCTTTTTATTCTGACATGGCTTTGGATGACATCCATTTCAAGGAAATGCCCTGTGGTAAGTCGCTACACTTAGTTCATCGATGGTCCTCAAATTAATGTGCATCTCTGATTGACTCTGAAACTACTTAAGGGTCCCCGACTGGTTCTTCCGATAGATGAAGGAGGGCCTTTGACAAAACCAACAATGCCTTGATCCTTCAATAAAACATGATCCTCGCGATGGTAGAAATTGGAATCATTTTTTAATGCTAACAGTGGTTTTGCATTTGAAACATTGATTCAACGAGAATGCGAGTTGGCAAACGAAGGTTAATTTTTCTGCATGAGGGATTTTTTTTGATGAACTATCAATGCTTGGTCAAACGTGAACAAGAGTTCTATGCGATTTAAAAAAAGTTGACTGGCCATTGATCAGAATTTAGGACAACAGATAACAACCGACTTTCACTGTAATTTTTTAAATATAAAATTAAGTACACATCAATGACTTTTGTGTCCATTAACAAAGATACATATTTAAGTGAACTTTCTACAGTAAAGAGGGGCTCATGTTTTGAAACAAAGATACTTTGTTACAGCAAGCTTATCTTAAACTAGCTTTACAAAAGCTCTTTGTTCAAATGACAATTGTTCGGTTCTTGAAATCCACACACAAGGCAAACGTCAAACACAGCTCTTCGTATATATTTAGGTGTACAACACTTGGGATGTTTTAACGATCGTTATAAAAGAGCTTTGCCAGACTTGATTGCGAATCTCCGGGATAAAATAGATTGGTATGACATGCAAAAGACCGTCAGAGAATGCGCCTGTGTTGCTTATGACAAAGGATACAAGGTATTTATAAAATTATTAAAATACCAGACCAGTGCAAGGCTTTCATGTTTGTCTCAGGCCTCAATAAAGTCAATTATAACTGGACCATCCACAACATGGATATTTTGAACCAATTCCTCTCATATTTACAGTAATAATACTGCATTGCGTTAACCTAATATAAATTTCGCTTCCATTTTTCAATGAACAAGCATTGATTATGTTGTTATTTAGTATTTTGCTGTGCAGTTTTACGGAGAGTGTTGGGGCGCAAGAAGTATGATTGAATATGACAAATATGGTGCTTCCAACGACTGCTGGTCTGGTGTCGGAAAAGATTTCACGAATTATGTCTATAAATTCACGAAATAAGATACGTTTTATGTTCATTCTATATCTTAGCATTCCCAATATTTTAGGATTGAGCCACTGTAATATTGCTTGTTTCTTACGCTTTTTCTATGTATCTTTCTATATCCCTTACATAACTAGATCTCCCTCAATTAATGTCAATCAATCCCCTAATCAATATCAAGTCTATATTTAGCTATTACTGTCCGTGTCTATATATATATATATACATTACATCTCTCCCTTTGTTTAATGAATTATCAAGTTTGGGTTTATTGCATTTCCAAAAAGTTCTCTCTGTCTACGCTGCCTTGTTGACCTTCTCACCACTGGTTCTGGCGTTGGTTCGTCCGCTGCTCGTTCGATGAGTGCATTTCCTGTCGGTGCGTTCCAATCATCTTCATCTTCGGATTCCTTTGCGGCGTCTGGTATCTTCTTAAAGAACGATACATTTCTTGTCACCTTATGTCTTTGGTTTTCAGCTACTATTGTCACTCCTTTACGTTCAAGCACCGTGTAAGGAGTTGGTTCGAACTTGGTTGTAAATTTGTTTTTCTTTTTCTGTCTAAGAATGACTGTGTCTCCCACTTGTATCTCTGACGGCGCCACTCTCCTTCGTTTGTTTGCGTATTCTCTCGCTTTGTCTTTGGCATTGGAGTCATTCGATTTGGCTTCTTTATGTCTGTTTAGTACTTTAGCTTTTGGGTTCAACATGGGTAGGACTCCTCTGACAGGCCGATTAAAGAGAAGCTGAGCGGGCGGTATGTTGGTAGAACAATGGGGTGTGGTGCGATAGCTTAACAGGAACCTCGAAAGTTCTTGGACCCAGTTACGATGTTCTGAACGAGCGGTCTTGATTGCTTTTGCCAAAGGTTTCATAAAAGCTTCTGCTTCTGAGTTACCTTGTGGCCATTCAGGTGTTGATGTCTCATGTTCTACGCCAATCTTTGTTAAATAATCTTTGAATTCTTTACTATTGAAAGGAGGACCGTTATCCGTCTTTATTTTCAGTGGAATTCCATGTCGCGCGAAGATAGCATCGGTTTTTGGTATAAGTGCTTTAGCAGATGTACTTGTGATGATTTCAGCCTCCGGGTATCTTGAATATTTATCAATTAACACTATGATATACTGTCCGGTGGGAAGCGGGCCGTAGAAATCTGCATGTACAGTTTGCCAAGGACCGTCCGGCGTTTCTGGAGTTAGTAAAGGCTGGGGTGGATCGGTTGGACCATTAATTTGGCACGGAAAGCAGGTATCGATCTCTTCTTTTACAGCTTTATCAATGTTAGGGAACCAGGCATACTGACGTAACAAGGCTTTTGTTTTGACAAGTCCTTGATGACCGCTGTGGGCAAGTTTTACTATCTTCGCTTGTAGAGTTGATGGTATTATAATACGTGTTCCTCGGAGGATTACACCATTTGTATGGTCCACTGTTATTTCATCTTTGATGTTTATGAATGGCTTTACATGACTGCTGCCCCAGTTACCAGACTTAACTGCTTCTCTTACTGCATTGAGACTGGGATCCTTTTCCGTATGTTCCTTGATAACTTGTATTGGAATTGTGGTTTGCGCGGCATTAGTCGAGATGAAGTTTATGTATTCTTCAGCAAGGTTGTGTTTTGGTATCTTCGATTGCGGATGTCGTGACAGGAAATCTGCTGGGTTAACACTGCCTGGTTTGTAGATAACATTGAAATGGTATTGCTGAAGTCTTAGAAACCAACGTTCTATTCTAGCTGGAGGTTTGGACCGAGGATTGTTGTAGATCAACTGTAATGGCTTGTGATCAGTAATTAGGTTGAAAGGTGCACCGAACAGGTAAAGGTGAAAATGTTCAATGCCCCACACGATCGCGAGAGCTTCCCTCTCGGTTTGTGAGTACCGTTGTTCTACTGGGGATAATGCTCGGCTGGCATAAGCGATAGTGTTGTCTTCGTTTTTTTTGGATCCTTTTGCGTCAATATGGCAGATAAACCAACGGGACTTGCATCCACCAGGACTGAGGTTTCTTTGGATGTATCGAAATGGCTCATAACTGGACTGTTAGTCAGAGCACTCTTTAGGTCTTCATATGCTTTCTGGTGTATTGTCGTCCATGTAAAACGAGCGTTTTTTTGGGTCAATTTTCTGAGTGGCTCTGTAATGGTCGCGTAGTTTTTGATGAACTTAGCACTGTAGTTAGCCATTCCTAATAGACTTCTCACTTCACCGACTGTTGTTGGTGGTTTTGTATTGGCGAAAGCGTCCACTTTCTTGGGGTCTGGGCTAACACCTTTTTCTGTGAATACCAGTCCAAAGAATTCAAGATTCTTTTTGAGGAATTTGCACTTTTGTAGATTGAGAGTCAGGTTACTCTCTTGCAGACGTGTAAGTACTTCTTCTAATGCTTGGTCATGTTCCTGTCGAGTATTTCCAAACACGATGATGTCATCTGCGATGTTTTTAGCTCCTTGAATTCCTTGTAATGTCTCCTGTAGGGTGTGTTGTGAAGAGTTCCGCTGCAGCATTTGTGCCGTAGTTTAATCTTTTATAGCGATATAAACCGAGATGAGTGGAGAAAGTTGTTATTCCCCGAGATGCTGGGTTCAGCTCCAGTTGATGGTAGGCTTGAGTTAGGTCAAGTTTTGAGAAAAACCGAGCTCCGTTAAGCTCAATAGAGACAGCTTCTAGAGTGGGTATGGGATGTCTAGTTCTCTGAATAGCTGTATTTGCTACTCGCATATCTACGCACAATCGAATCTTATCGTCACGCTTTGGGACGACGACGACTGGGGAAACCCACTCCGTTGAAATTCCTTCGGGTATTCTCTCAATGATGTCATCCTGTTCTAATCTGCGTATTTCATCTTCAATTTTTCCGCGTAAATGGAACGGTGCTCGGCGCTGCGGTTGTGCAACTGGTGAAACGGTTTCATCGATAACTAATTCGATTTGTTTGTTCTTTAGTTTCCCAAGTCCACAGAACACAGGGCCATGTTTATCTAGGATGCGTGCGAGGTTTTTATCGCTCGTTGTTGGTGTGATTTTTGAACGTTCTGTTTCCTTGTTTATCTGATTTAAATGGAGACTTACGAGTCCAAGTTCTTGTGCAGTTTCAGAACTAAGTAAACAACCGCCGTCGTCAGAAGTAACAAATATGGTAGCTACCGTGAATTTGTGTTTCGACTCTGCTAAAACGCGGAATTTTCCTTCCATCTTCACAGGTGTTGTGGAATTGAAGGGATATGCTTTCACGGATGTTGGCTGAAGTCGGATATCTCGCAGTTGTTGGAACGTGTGTTTATCGATTACATTTATGCTTGACCCCGTATCAATGGTCATTTTTACTCTTTGTCCATTGAGAGCAATTGACGCTTGCGGGTGTTTTTGTTTGTTGTTGACCGCGTAACAATATTCTGGACCACTACTGTCGCTGCTAGTGTTGTCCTGGAGGTCTGTGTTAACTGGTCGTAGGTCTTCGCGTGGTTTACCAGTTTGTCTATTTTCTCTCGTGTTGCTACTGCGGCACTGGCTAGCAAAATGGTTTAGTTTACCACAATTGGCACATGTCTTGTTTTTGGCAGGGCACGGTTTGTTGGTGTGAGGGTAGCTGCCACCACAGTAAAAACATGTCTTATTGGATGTCTTGTGTTTTGTTTCTTTCGCGGTTGGCGTTTTAACTGCTTGAATATTGCAGCTGTCTAAATGTCCTTCAATGTCAGCTGCATGCGTCTTGCTTATTTCTTCCCGCCTGGCTGCGAGCAAAAGATCTTTTAAAACATACTTGGGGTCTCGCAACGCTTGTTTACGCACGCGACTTGACTTTCCTCCAATAACAATTTGTACCATAATTTCGAACTCTACATCTGAAAACTCACAGTTTTTTGACAGTGTTCGTAGACGCGTGTGGTATTGATCTATCGTTTCCGTGTCGCTCTGTTTTGCTTGTCGAAATTTGTAGACTTCGTATAATCGATTTTTTTGAGGCTCGAAGTATTCGGTGAGAAGTTCCGTCGCTTTATCGAAGTCGTCGTCGTTACCAGGGTCTGGAAAGTGTCGAAAGATTTCCCGTACTCGCGGTCCTGCTTGGTATAAAAGTAATGCTCGTTGGCGTGTCTTGTTTGTAATGTTGCTCGCCGTTAGAAATGTTTTGAAATCTGCCAACCAAGTACGCCATTTAGCCGCTATATTTCCTCCCGCGTCAGCATCAGGGTCAAACGGTGGCATAGGCGTGAGATATGTCGCCATTATATAATATGTTTTAATCACTTGTTTTAGTCTTCGTCGCCAATGTAATATTGCTTGTTTCTTACGCTTTTTCTATGTATCTTTCTATATCCCTTACATAACTAGATCTCCCTCAATTAATGTCAATCAATCCCCTAATCAATATCAAGTCTATATTTAGCTATTACTGTCCGTGTCTATATATATATATATATACATTACAGCCACTAGTATGTAGGAAGTTGCATGACAAAAGTCACAAAGATTGGAAAAAAAAGACTTGCGTCCGTGCAAATCTTATTCTTATAGAGAGTTTACCGTGTAGTATTGTATATATATTTATTTTAATTTTTGAATAGGAATAGCCCACCTTTGGGTTTAATGATTATTTGAAATGAATAAAAATAATTGACATCTATTAATACTAGCACTGATATCAAAACGAGTATCATATTTCTAATATAGACATCTGTCAAATACAAACATCCTCTAATAGAGACGTCTCTAATACAAACATCTCTCTAATACAGACATCTCTCTAATACAGACATCTCTCTAATACAAACGTCTCTCTAATACAGACATTTCTCTTTACAAAACATCTCTATCTCTACACTACAGACATTTTAACTTTTGATTGATGTGAACGAGGAAATAGTAATGATGTAATGATGTATGCGTGCTCTTATCTGAACGTCCATAACTTATCTACTTGTTTGCATCTATCAAAAGAAGAAAACTTGGTCGTAATACAGACATCTTTCCAATACAAACATCTCTCTTACATGACTGCACAATTCGTCAAG